TGTTTTTTTTATTATTATTTGCTCTTGTACTTTTTATAGGCAAAGTCAGAGTGTAGAAAGGCCGTCTAGAATACCTCTAAGATCATCCAGTCAATCTGGAAGAGATAGAGGTATACCACAAAATCAAAACAAACAAAGAAGTAAATCACAAGCTACATTAGGTTCATCAGAAACCCCCTTAAATCATGGAAAATTTACACCTCAAATTGGATCCAGGATGACATCAGGAGCATCATCCAATGCATCCAGCAAGAAACCAACCTATTATAAAGATCCTAGAAATTTACAGGATAAAGAATTCCAAAGAGAAGCTTCGCAATTAGTAAGTATTTTTCACATACTGAATTTTTATAATTATATTTAAATATTTTTATTTTTTTATATAATTCAATTATAATATGTAGGTTCAACATTATTTCAAAGAAAAAAGCCCTGAAGTTTTGATAAATTCCTCTGAAATCAAACCAATGACTATTAAAATGTTTATCGCTATGATCAATCATCTATTCGAAGTTCTTGGCATTCTCGATAAAGGAATTGAGCCTGTCAGATTTGCTGCGAGTACATTCGAAAAAGAGCTGCCATATTGGATGAAGAAATTAGAATATCCTGGTTTGATTACGAAAGCCTGGCTGCAAACTGGTAAATAAACCGTTTTATATATATATTTAATATAAAGTGTGCATATTTCTAAAAAATTTTATTTTTGTAGTAAATGTTCCTCAATATTGGCCTCATGTTGTCGGACTTCTTTCTTGGCTTGTGAAACTTTGTTCTGCTAATTCGTTATTTAATATGGAAGAACAATTAAATTTTCCAGAAGAGTATTTGAGTCAATGGTGGGGTACATTTTTTTTTATGAAAAGCATGGAAGCTTTTCGATATTACAATGAAGGAAAAGAAGATGAATATAAAGAACTTTGCGTTGAAGTTATCACTAAACTTCACGAATTGAATGGAGTTAGTGACGATATTATGAATGAACTACAGGCAGAAATAAATGAAGTAAATAACTATTAGTTTTATCCGAAAACATATTAGAAATTCATTATTAAAAAAAAAAACTTACTTTGCAGTTAGAAGAAAATGTAAAAGATCCAGTTTTATTAGCTGATAAAGATGCTCATGACGAATTGGAAGAACATTTAAGAGTTCTCGATTCTCAGCATCAAAAATTACTAGAAGATGTTGAAAAAGAAAAAATTTACATTGATGAACTTGAAAACAAAACGGTCAAAAGTAAAAAAAATTGCGTTAACATAAGTAAGTTGAAATATTTAATTGCAAATTTTTTATTATAATATATATACTTGATAATTAATATTTAAAAATGTTAATTTTAGAGGAAGAAATAGAGAATACTAAAAATGAAACGGAAAAATTAAAAACAGTTGTTGCTACCCAGTCTTTTTCAGTAAACGATATTGCAGACATTCAAAAAAAAACTGGATACCTCGACAAAGAGATAAAATGCTTGGAAAAAGAATGTGAAGATTATTCACAACTTTTAAGTAGATATGATGTAGAAGCACTCGGTGTGAGAGATAAGGTACTTACTTACTTTAAATTTAAAACATTTAATTTTATTTATTAATCATTTATAATAATAATGTATTTTTTTTTTTTTTTTTTTTTAATCAGATTTTGCAAAGTTCTCATGCTTTTAATAGAAATATAATTCAATTGGAACAAATAATTGTCGAATTGAAAAAATTTCACATTCATATCGATTTAGAAAGTGAAAATGCAGTTAATTTTATGGAAGAAATGGTTAAATCTTTAGAAAAACTAAAAACTGAATACGTGGAAAGAAATTCAAAATTGGAAGAAGATTTAATAGAATCAGAAACGAATATAGCTAATAAAAAGAAAAAATTAAAAGAACTACAAAATGCTATTAGAAACGAAGAAATCAAAAAAGAAGCTAATCAATTGGAAAATGCAAAGTTGCAAAAATCATACGACGAAGTAAATAATGTTTTTTATTTTTAATAAAATTTTATTTATTTATTTATTTATTGATATTATTATTATTTTTTTTTTTTTTAACAGAAAATTGAAGCTCTGAATGAAGAATCTAAAAAATGGCATAAAAAAATTACCATAACTCAAGATAAAATGAAAAACATGAGCGATTTAAAAAATGAAAAACAAGAATTGGAAACAAAGTAATTTTCAATAAATTTTTTTTTTTTTTATATAATAAATGTAGTGCTTAAATGTCATACCATTTATTATTTCAGGTATGAAACATTGACGAAAAATTTTGAAAAGAAAGAAAAATATTGGCTCGATTTTTGGAGTAACGTCGAAGACAAATGGCGAGCCATTCCCGATACTTTAGGTATTAATTCCTTTCATATAACTCGAGTTGTACCTGAAACTTTTTAAATGAATAAATAATAAAAAAATTATTTTATTTTGTTTACAGAATCGTTATTGGAAACTGTTAATAAACAAAATAATGAATTAGAAGAAGTTATCAAAAGAGAAAAATTAATACAAAAATGAAATTTTTGTTTATTTGCTTCTTTTACTTTAAAATATTTCTTTTAAGATTTTATCTGTCGATAAAATGTAATTTAAAATCGTGGAATGAGTTTTGAAAAACAATTTAAGTACTAAAAAAAATTAATTCAATAATTTTAAGCTATATTTAATTAAATTAATAATAATAATAATAATAATAATAATAATAATAATAATAAAACAATTAAAAAAATAAAACAATAGCATTTAACATTAGATCGATAAGCTTAACAATATACAATTCAACTAATTTTATTTAAACGTGCCTAATAATAACTTAATAAACACTTCAATAGTCTATTAAAAAAAAATTAAATAAATTGTATATAGAAAAAGATTTTTTTTTTTCGTTTTTTCATCAATAATCAATTTTAAATTTTTTTATAAATTATATAAATATTTAAATTTTAATATCAAATAATATAGTTAGTAAATCATTTTTAAAGCTTATATTTTTTTTTTAAATATCATTTTTTTTATAAAATAAAAAAAATAAAAAATTAATTATATAATTAATTTGTATAAGTTTATTTAAAAAAATTCTTTTAAAAAATAAATTCATTTAAAATATAAAAAAAAACTTGATTAAACAATGGAAAATATTTTCCTTTTTTTTTTTTTTTATTACTGTAATCGGTGAGATCAAATAATAATTGAGGTTATAATCGATAATCACATGATAAATTAATTTTTATTCCTGCATAATAAGTTAAAGGGAAGCTAATTCTATTTCTGCTTGATTTTTTCCACCTATTATGAAATCTTAACGAATTAATAAATATCTATGATTATTTATATTGTGCTCTCAACAATAGAATTGTTGCTCGAATAATTGTTGCTCTGGTTCGGTTGCAGCGGTAGCAATAAATGTACCATTTTCAAAATCAATTTCCCTCAGTTCTTGCACAACAACTGGCTCTGATACATTTTGCATTTGCACAAACCTGTAAACTGTTTGATCTTGTGCTCTTCTCGGAATTATTCTGTGCACTACAACTCTTTTATTTAATTGAGAATCATTTTTGTTAACTTTTTTCTGTAGTAAATCAGTATCTGTCGAAGCTTCAGTAGTGAGTTTTTCATCGATAAAAATAGGCTCATCTTCTCCTCTGTCATCGACTTCATTAACTACAGTATCTAATTCTACAATATCTAAAGTTGGTTGTACTTGATTTTGGTTACTAGCTTTTGCAGCAGCTTCTTCCAAGAGTAGAGTTTTACACCTGTGATTCATCAAGTGTTTTTCTTTGGAAAAAGAAAATCCACAGTGTGAACAACTCTGTTTAATATGAGGACCAGGAAATCGTTTTTTGTGTGCCTCATATCCAGCTTTGTTAACAAATGTACCATTACATCCATCACAGGAATATTTTTTTTGAATGACAATATTATGAGTTTTCATGTGACTTTTATAATTTGCTTTTAATATAAATGTTTCTGTGCACACTTCACAAACAAATTTAATAACACCTGGATGTTTTGTACCTAAATGATAAGTGTATTTGGATTTTGTCGGAAACCAAACAGTTTTAGGACATTCCGTACATTCAAATCTTTTTACTTCATTTTTAGAAGTATCATGCACTGTTTCCATATGTTGTCTATGTTTTTCAATACTGTTATAAACTTTTGGTGATCCTTCTTTAGCACACAATTCACAGGCAAATTTTTTTTTCGATCTTTTACAAGAATCATCTGCGTCCTCTTTTGTAATTTTATGCTCTGAGCAAAATTTACAATTTTGACATTGTTGTTCTGAGGTATTATTACATTTTGAACTACCAGAATCTATAGATTGACATTTCATGTTGTCATTATTATCCTCGTTAGCATTTAAAATAGATGATGATTCTTCTTGAGCAGTTGTATTTACGTTATCATCAGCACTCAATTCATTATTTTTATTGGAAACTTTGTCTTCAAAATCTTTTTTTTGTTTTACTTTTGCATTTTTTACTCTTTTTCCATACATTCTTTCAACTTTTGAAACTTTATTTGAAACACTTGATTCTTTTTTTTCATTTATTACTATATTTCTTTTAATTGACTGTTTTCTTTTTCTTTTAGAACTACCAGTAGGCTGTTTACTGGGATTATCGTTCGTTGATTCAGAATCGGGCATTGTGCCCTTACTGAAAAGATAAAAAAAAATTATATAAACAAAATAATCAACAAAAAAAATAAAGAGAATAAAAGAGAAAATAAAATTAAGAGAAAAACTTCTAATCAAAGTTATTATTAATAGAAAATAAAAAATAAAAACAAACTTAAAATGAACTTTAAACAATTTAAAATGGACAAATTACCGGTAAGTGGCGCTGAAATACTGGTTTCAATATGGCAGATAATTTTTTTTTAATTAAAAAGATGCTCAGTAAAAATGATTTATTGTAAATGTATATGACACTTGAAAGAATGATAAAAAATTCCAGTCAATATTTTGCTGTAAAACTTATATTTTTAAACTTAATTAGTGAGTATTAGTAATTTTCTTATATTATTTTACCCTTAAAAAAAAATTTGAAGTTCATTTCGTGTGATGTATAACATGGCATTTTTTTTCTTTAATTAATTAACCATCGTTGTTTGTAAATGCCACGTATAAATTTCTAATATTTTAATAAACGTTTTACTTACTATTCACGTTAATCTTTTATAGGAATTGATAAGAAAAATAATTTGAAAAATTGTGAAAAAGTTTTTGTAAATATCACCACTCCTTTTCTCACTTCGATTGACCACCATATTATGGCCTGTGCAATGCATAAAAAACGATAGACCAATCAAATTTAAAAACGAAATGTAATTTTGTGTCACGTGATTCTTTTGAATTTTACTGTTTCATTAAAACTTACAGAGTACATGTTTTTTTTTTTTTTTTTTTTTTCCTTTCTTTCTCAAGCTTTATTTGTTTTATAATTGAGAACTAACAATTTTAGTGAACGGAATTTTAATTGTAGTTAAACCTCATCACAGTGTTAATGTATTTAGTTTTATATAGTTTGTATTTTTGCATATTTTTTAAAAACCTATCTTTAGGTTTAAAAATCGTCAACGGTTTAACCGTAAATTATGTACCAATCAGTGCCTATCACAAATGGAGTCCATTCGAAGAGAAGTAAAAAGAAAATTCAGTCAGGGTCTATGGATCCTACTGAAAAGATTAACTCTGTCCTAGTGAATGTGGTGGAAAGTGATAGTATGGATGCTTGCTTTACTGCTTTTGATAAAAATGGGTTTGTACAACTTACATATACTTATACATATGTACATACATATTATAACTTGAATTATTTATTGATTTGTTGATGTATGTTGCTTGATTGCATTATGAATTTTTTTTTTTTTTTTATAAAACACAAAAAAACAAAATGATTAAAGTAATTAATAAAAAACATAATTAAAACATAATTAAATATTGTTAATTTAAGTGTAAATAACACAGACTTAGTAATATAACTTTCTTGTGTACATATAAGTATATTATTAACTTTTTCAATGTATTATTAATCTTTTCATTTAATTTTCAACAGTCAATCCAAGGTAATTGATTTAGAAAATAATAATAATAATGTTCATCATCTAGTACTAAAAGTAGAAGACAATTTCAAGAAAACAAATTTCATTGTAAAAAAAAAAAAAAAAATTATTGATTACTGGTTAAAAAAATACTTTATTCCAAAATGATCTATTTATAAATTTAAATAATCAATCAATTTATTTATTAATAGATTCAGAATAATATTTATATAATTTATTATTATTATTATTAAATCAACAGTAAAACAAATCAACAGTATTATTATTAAATCAATCAACAGTAGTAAACAATTATTTTTTTTATTTTATTTTAATGTCCTTTAGAAAATAAATAAATAAATTATTGCTTAATATATTTTTTTGACCCTTGATTTATATTATTTTATATAATTTATTTTATTAGAAAAAAAAACTTTTATGGTTTTGTTTTTTGTTTTTTTTTTTTTTTTTAGTGATGGATCCCTTGATATGAAAGAATTTAATTCACTTTGTCGAGCTTTGTTTCGAAATGATCGTGGTAAAATATACGCTTTAGATTCGGAAAAACTTCGAGATATATTCGAGGTTTTCGATCATAATGGAGATGGTTTGATAGATAGAAATGAATTTGTTAAATGCTGGAATCACTGGATAAAAATAGTAAGTCGTACTAATGAAACTTTTGTCTTTGTCAAACACTTTTGATCACATTAAACCATCAAAACCGAAGAAAATTTTCTTTTCTTTTTGTGTTAAGGTTGCCGAACAGTTTTCACAAAGATTGCCGAACAAATTTTTAACACATACCACCATATTATTTTTAAACAAAACTTTATGAAACCAATAAATAATTACAACACGTTAAAGTTATTTCTATAAAACGTTAAAATTCACAATAAAATCATTCAATAAAAAAAAATTGAATTTGTCAATACTATTTTTTCGAGTTATTTTTAAAATTATTATTATTAATTTTTATTAAGAGTTAATGGGAATTTTAAAAATTTGGCAATGAGTTAGTATTATAACCTTGAATAATTTTTTAATTTAATCAGTATATATATTTTTCATTTTTAAATCAGTTAAATTTCGCGTTTGTTATTTTCAAAACAAAATTTTTTTTTTTTTTTTTTTTTTTTTTTACATGATCAATTAAATTGATTTTTTTTTTTCTCGATTATTACACGAAAATATCGAAAGATATCGAATCGTTATCGATTAAGATTTGGAAAAAATAAAAAAAGTCGTAAAAAAATTTCAAACGATATCATTTTAATTAGTTTATTGACCAAAATAAAAATTTTGTTTACATTTAAATTATGTATATAAAATT